GTGTGTGTGTGTGTGTGTATATATGTATATATGTATATATATACATATATATATATATATATATATGTATGTATATATGTATGTATGTATGTATGTATGTATATTGATGTGTGTGGGGGGGGGGGTGTTTGTGAGTGTGTGTGGGTCTATTAATGAATATATTTTGATGTGCAAGTGCATTTGTATGTGTATGTATTCCATAAACATTTATGCTCGTACGCTTGAGTTTTATTTTTGAATCATCATCACCCCACGGATGATTGGAGGTTTTGCTGATCATTTAGTCCACTTTTGACGTTTGGACCATTTTCTGCAAGGGATTGACGTGTTACTTGCAACCTTTTTTTTTACACAGTGGGGGGGTACTGATTGAGAACTTGTTGAGCGGAGAGGCTGTTCTTGTTCTGAATAGCTCAATATCGACGCTCAACGTGGATGACAAAGATGGAATCATAGGCGATTACGTGAAACGTTTTGATTTGATTTCCGTATTTGGCAAATTAAACACTACTAATGGTAAGTTCGCAACTTCATATTGCCCGACCTTCCAATGATGTGCTACCGTGTCTTACATTCCAAATCAAATCTTGCACAGGGATCTCATGCTTATTCACCACGATGTCATTCCGTCCGAACCTCGAAATCCCAAATCAATACACAATGTAAGTGTTTACAGAGTCTTTCATATTTTCAACCCCACAGGCGCTACGCTACTGTGTGTAACTAGTACGCACACAGAGGTGAGGTTTTCGGATGGATCGTGCATATATCGTATCAACACCTGTGAACTGGCACAAGTAAGCGGTAATAGTATCGTTAGAGATGCCGATCTTCTAAAAGGGATGCGAGCCCTAGTGGCCGATGGATCGTTCTATTTTGCAAGTGAGGGCTATGACGTAACACGTTCTGAGCAAGTCAAATATGAAGAAGGTTTAGCAGGAGGTATGATGTTTGAACGCGAAAACAAACCCCCTTCTCCGCTTTATTTATTTTCTGCGAAAATAGTCGTGACCATGGGGGAAATGTGGAGTTAGGATTGCTGTTATTCAGCAAAAATAAAAAGGATCCTTGACAGTCCATGTATGTATATGGAGGCAGTTTTATGCTACTACTGCCGTCAACGATTCGATTATTAGTTGAAAAGACAGACCTGCACGATTTGATGCTCGTATTTTTGTGCTCATATTAGTCGGAACTCATTTCTTCTCACAGTCGCGGACGAGCCAGACGCTGGAGTAATGTGGAATGGTGCATTGATGAAGGATTTCACCAATGCACAAATCGGTGCACCTCTCTGCCCTCCCTGCATCCGCGGCTACGTTTCTTTTCGTAAGATATACACAGGCATGACTGAAAATTTAGCGGGTATAATTAGCCGTTCTGGCTGTGGTCGTGCTGGAACGCGGTTCCAAACAAGAGGTGTGGATGACGATGGAATGGTAGCTAACTTCGCTGAAACAGAACAGGTGCCTCGCGTCTCGTTGTCAATTTGTCACACAAAGTGGTTCGTCGATTTTACGCAATGGTTTGTATTCCCACTCTTAACCAGGAATGACTGCTGAATTTGACCTGGACAGATGGTGTGTTACGTGCAACTTATCAGTCGTTACACCGCTATAGTCAGTATGTATGTTCAGTTCGCCCTGTATTCATATATTCTTCTATCTGTACGCTCTTGCTAACCCCACCTGCAGATTATCGAGGTGAACGGCGCTGTGATTTCATATCTACAAATTCGTGGATCCGTACCTCTATTCTGGGAACAGCCCGGAATTAATGTTGGGAAACACAAGGTATTCCTATTCATAAACCCCGTTCATTTAAGTTTATAAACAGGAATAATAGTGATGTCAAGTACGAAATGTAAGAAAAGTTGCACTTTGTCTGCTGCTTCTTTTTACGTACACTTTGGTTGTGATGTACATTTGATTTATATAGTGGAATCATCGGTACGTTATTTCTCTTCGGTCCTTCTCCTGCCTAGAATATGTCATTTCGTATCCATGTCTACTGATTACGTCGTGCGGCCTCATCCGCTATTGAGGTTTATTAAGGGAAATGCTCTCCAGTTTGCAATCTTATCTCTAATTAATGGTCTTGTTCTAGGTACAAATACCTCGCAGCATGGACGCCATGATGCCTGCATTTGAGAAGCACTTTACTCAGCTGCTGCCCCGTTACGGGCCTGTCAGATGTCTCAATCTATTAGAGCAACAGGGGGAAGTCGACGGCGAGCCTTTACTGAGTAGAGAATTTGAAGTGCATGTGAAGGAGCTTATGCGTCAACAGGTGGGTTATCGCAAATATCTGCATCGTTTGGTTCAGTGCGACATAGGCATATAACAACAAAGCACCGCCAATGCCGAGCTTTCAAATTCGACTTGTGGTTTCTACGCTTGTTGTTAGATACCATTTGCTATGTGAAATGAAGTATAAATATAGTTATGTTATCTGTGTATAGTCGTGTCTGTATACGTGGACATCTTCTTGCCTTTGGTTTGCACTATGAGTATATCTGATATAATAATATACGAGAATTTTCTGGTGGATCTTATATATATATATATATATATTTATATATATGTATGTATATATATATATATACGTGTGTGTGTATATATATATGAGTGTGTGTGTGTGTTCTAAATTAATGACTGTGTTTTGCTTTTGATTTGATCATTCGCTTATATAATGTCGCAGGTGGTTATTTTGATTGCAGTTATAAAGTATACAGGAACGTATGTTAAATAAAGCTGTGTAGTCAACATCGCATATACAACTAGGACCATCACGTTTGTGACGAACCAAAGCCGTCTCTGTACTTGTTAGCGCATACAGTGTACACAGTGTGGTGAGAAAAGATAGCTACGCACAAGGGGGTACTGATAATCTTATAGTACCTAACATGGCTTTTCATTCATGCTACCTTGCTGTCGGTTTGGTGCCTACCATCTCTTCACTACAGAAATGCCGCATGTGTACAGGTGAAGGCCAGTGGGGCGAGGATGTGAGTATAGTGTCATTTGACTTCCACAAGGAAACTCGTGGAAGTAAGTATGAGAATCTTTCACGATTGCTAAATGCTATCCATGAGCCCATAGTCACGTCGTCCTATTTCTATCGACCAGGCCCTGGCGCTACACCAGTGAATCGACAATCAGGTCAGTGGTTGCAGCTTATCATCTCTTGGTTTTACACATCGATTGCGAGAGAAAAAATGTGACCAAACAAATTTACTAACTATGAATTGTACGATATTGATGTCTAGGCCTGTGGGCAGTTTTTGTGTCGCCATATGGTTGCATGGTCTGGGTGTTGGTCCTAGCTAGTAGGAGCATTGTATGTGTCCTCGTACATTTCTACCACTCAAATACAATCAAATCGGCCATGCAGGTGTATTCCGAACGAATTGTCTTGATTGCTTGGATCGAACGAATGCTGTGATGCAGCTGATCGGTCAGAAAGCATTGCAAATCCAGCTCGACGTACTAGGCATCGAAATCAGACACCTATCAAGATTCCAGGACTCTTACAAAGAAATGTGGTATCAGAATGGTGACGCTATCAGCATGGCCTACGCTGGCACGGGTGCCATGAAAGCTGATTTCACACTGACTGGCAAGAGAACTAAAAAGGTGGTTTCGATTAACCGTGGGTACTTGCTTTATCATGTGCTGCTTGCTGGAGGCTTGAGTTGGCGACCTAAAAAAAGTATCTTTGTGCTCAACGAATAGTTTTCTTCTTTAGGCGCCGGTCTGCGCCGGATGGTACATCACCTGTTGTTCTAAAGGAATCGTTATAGCTTTGTGTACGTTACTCACTACTGTTGGATTTGCTTTCATGCAGGGTATATACAATGATGGCAAAAAGTCTCTGAAAAGACTGGTACAGAATAATCAGGACGATAAACGGCAGGCTATTATAGATGTTATGCTCAGGGCCAAAGGTTCAACAGAACTCAGCATGGCAATGAATGAGAAGAACCAGAACAAGACGGTGTGTTAAAGCAAACGCTCGGTTTTTTGCTTGCACATGTGAGGGTTGAGTATACAGTATCGTTTTGGCAAGTACTTTTGTGGGAAGAACCAGGTTACTACTGCAATTTTCTTACTGAGGGAGGGAGAGCTTTTACCGATTTCGTTCGCACGCCTGCTAGAGTTCAAATTACCTTCATTTCCCCAACAACTGAATCTAAGTCTGATGTGGAGAACTGATACCTTGCCTCTCTTAAAAATTGATCTCCACATACTGTACAGGTGAATCAGACGATACACAGAGCTTTACTGGAACGTAGTGAGGAGTACTGCGATGTGAGTGGCCTGCGGCTGTGTGTAGCCACATGGAATACAAACAATGGCAAAAATTTCGACCATACAAACCTCGCCGACTGGTAAGTATTTTTACAAGGCATACGTAAGACCGACAAAGCGCAGAGATGAAGTTGATTATAAATAGATGTACGGTGCAGATCTCAGTTTACCTGGACGATTTTCCGTACCAACAGGTTAGTGGCCCCTTGTGAAGGTGATCCGCCTGATATTTATGCGATAGGCTTTCAAGAAATTGTGAACATTGAGGCGAAAAGTATATACAAAGCCGATGAAGGGAATATGGAGGTATGCAAATCTATAACTTAATGTCTTGAATCATTTTCACCGGAGTTAGGAATATTCGGGCGAATTTGTGGCATCGATGTGGTTAGTCTGTTTTGTTTTCAAATTGCGGACCTGTTCGCTGTATCAATATTCTGAACTTGTTCAACCTTATAGCAATGGCGGCTAAGGATCACGGCTGCTCTGGCTCAGCAGAATCTCAAGTACAATTTGCTGGCGCAGAGACAGTTAGTAGGGGTGGCTTTGCTGATCTTCGTCGCCGTTCCTGCCCTACCATACGTGCGTGATGTTGTGATCACTAAATGCAACGTTGGGATGCACGGACTTGCGGGTGAGTATAAACGTTGCGACGAGCTTAGAAATAGAGAGCTGCTTGTGATTTCAAATTATGATCGTGGACGGTTAAATTGAAACGTGTGATGTGTCCCCATACCTTAGAAACACTGTACAACAATATTTGTAATTCTGCGGACGAAGTTGAGCGAACTTAAAAACTTTCAATAGCTGGCTTCGAGACTAGCTCACTCGCATATGTGTGTTCTACGGGAAGTCTCTTCAGCTGATCTGTACATATTGCTACTGACTGCGATTTGTTTCATGTCGTTAACCCCACACTCTATGCAGGTAATAAAGGTGGAATTGGAATTCGATTTGCATTTCGCAATACCAGTATCTGCTTTGTAAGTGCACATTTAGCGGCGGGACAATCTAACGTGCAGGACAGAATCGACGATTACAAGGACATCACCAAGTCACTCGATTTTGGGAAACGCAGATGCGTGTTGGATCATAACTATGTTTTCTGGATGGGCGATTTCAATTTCCGTGTCAACTTGCCAAGAGATGTAGTTATACCTGCCATAGAAGCCGGCAATTACAGTCTCCTGTTACAGGTATTGGATATCTATTTGATTGAAGCGAGTCAAATGGCAGATTTGGCCTTTTTGAATTGAAAGTTGTCCTCTGGTATGGGATAGGCCTCAAGTTCGAACGCGTACACAGAAGAGAAACCATGATTCTCCTTAACCAAAACATGCCGCAATGAGTTTGTTGAAAAGCTTGAAATTGTATAGCGTGAATTAGCAGTTGCCAAAGCGCTCTATCGATACGATATGATGCGGTGCCAGGCTCAAAGTTTCCACTTGTTTGTCGCTCCCGACCACTACAGAACTGTCAACTACAGTCGGCACGCGACCGAGGACTCGTTTTCCAGGGTTTCGAAGAGGGAGAAATTATTTTTGCGCCGACGTACAAATATGACGTCAACTCTGATGTAGGTTGTCTATTACTAAACACTGATATAATTTGTATAGTACTATACACTGATGTAAGTTGTCTAGTATTTAAGACTTGTAAATTGTCTAGTACTAAACACTGATGTAAGTTGTCTAATACTAATCACTGATGTACTTTGTATAGTACTATACACTGATGTAAGTTGTCTAGTATTTAAGACTTGTAAATTGTCTAGTACTAAACACCGATGTGATTTGTATAGTACTAAACACTGATGTAAGTTGTCTAATACTTATCACTGGTTTAAGTTGTCAAATACTCTGGAAAGACATGATCGTGTGGGATAAGGGGTTTCCTACCAAGGCGAATGGACATGCGTAGCGCTTTTGTCAGTTTTTTATCACACTTTCTGAGCCACAAGTGAAAAGTATACCTTCACTGAATCACGGCGTGTGTCAGATATCTACTGGTGGTGCGGAGTTCTCTCAATGATTGTATGTCTTTCTCACTTACAAATCATTATGCAGACATATGACACAAGTGAAAAACAGCGCACGCCATCATGGACAGATCGTATCCTGTGGCGTGTAAATGGCGAAAGCGTGTTGAACTCTGTCCTCCGCTATTACAACCGCGTGGATAGTATCAGAACTTCGGATCATCGCCCTGTGGTTGCGGTGCTTGACATCAACGTTGCTATTGTGGTAAGCACTGCACAGTTCCCGTTGGTGGATAGGCTGTCTCTAGCTTAGCTATCAATTACTCTACCAGCGTCCGATCCAATTCTGGTGATCTGAACTCTGAAGGGGAAAAAGGGGGAACGTGTACCGCGTGCTTCAAGTTTTTAATGACTATGGGCACTGGACAATGTTAGCTATAATTGATGTCTCGATGATCGCAAAGGTTCATTAACAGGCTCTATTCTTTGTGATATATATTTAACCACCTTGTCGGGAAGCTAACATATTTGTAGCGTTGCTCGTGTTTATGTCTCCACTGGTCAATCACAGCCCCGTTTGTAACTAGTATTTTAAAACACCAAATGTTGTAAAACTCACTTAAAATTTTCTTTCTGGTCGCCATGTAGGACGAGCAAGCTCGTAAAAGTGTGTACAAATCCTTAGTCCGTGACGGTTCGGCTGTGGAGCCCTGTGTGGATGTATCAGGGTTGCCGGCCGATGCGACACCAAACGATGTGCGCGCTCTGTTTCAGCCATTTGGTCGTGTCATGGCTCTCAAACTGTATGAACCTGGCAGCGCACGAGTCACATTTGCGGATGAGGATAGTGCCGTATCCTGCACCTCACTCTCTGGATCGAGTTTTGGCAGTCGTACCTTAACGATAAACCTGGTAGACCCCTCGAACGACGATTATGTATCCCGTAGATCCGTGGACCTGGATAGTATGAGGAGTGGATCTCTTCGCAGTAGAACGGACATGAATGATACTACTTCTTTGATGTCGGACATGTCATCGTACACCTCTGCAAACGGGTATGTTTGTTTACTGGCATCTCCTCATTTAGGTGCTAAATTGATAGGCAGGGTTCAATAGCACCTGAATGTATATTTAATAGTCCTCACATGATGCTATTCAAGTGTGGTCCGTGTTCAATGAAAGCTAATAGTTCATATCTACTTTTCCAAACAGCCGATTGCAACCACTCCCTTCATTCATTGGAAACGATGGTAATGGATCAGATAATGACAATATAATATTTGGTAGCTCACCGAGTATGTCGCGAGCGAGTGAAGTCAGGGAACCTGAAAAACCATACAGACCGGCGGCGTTCAGCGATGACCGCGGCAGTTCCAAATCAGTCTCGCGACCGTCTGTTCCGGCACCCGCACGCCCCCCAGCACTTCCTTTATTATCGATAGACAGTCCGTCTGTGATAAGTGAAAGGCTTGAGCATGGCGAACATTTACCTACTAATCTAAGTAGGGGCCGCCCGCCCGCACGCCCGCGCGCTCCATCTGAGGAGAGTCTGAATGCCATCATTGCGCTGACAGGCAGCAGCAGAGGAACGTCTGAGGGACCCACTACCAGACCACCGAGACCAAAGCAGTCTTTGAGTGAAAGTACAAGATCATTCAGCACTGAGACTCGGGACTTGAGCGCTGAAGAAAGCCAGTATTCGGATCACGCACGTACGCCAGACGTTGTGCAAAAGCCCAGACCTGTAGACTCTATAAACACCGTTCCCACGCGACAGACGATCCCGCGTAAACCAGCGTATAAGGTGCCAGAACTGCCGCAGAAACCACGTCAGACACCACACACTTTGACTCGGCGCCCAACTAATCCGCCGCTGCCGCAGTCGAGCGATGATGAGTCCTATAGCCAGAGGCACGGCAACTCCGGGAGTGACAGTGAGAGCAGTGCTAGCGAGACTTCCGACGACGATGCGGATGGTTTAGGAATTGAGGAAAGCTTTACTGAGATGAATGTCAGCTCACTGCGAAGCCCATCTCCTCCGCCAGCGCGGATGGCTGAGAATGGGCCTGTGAAAACAGGAAAGGCTGTTCCAGCCAAATTGCCTCCCAGGAATAGACCACCGCAGAACCCGTCGCCCGCTCCGTCGCTGTCGCCTGCACAATCACCACAGCTGCAGCACACGTCACGTGGTGCATTACCCGCAAAGCCGTCGGCACTGCCTCCGCGACAGCCACCTCCGCCCAAAAGCACAGCACGCGATAGTGCTGTACCTGTCAGTCGCCGCGGACCACCTGTCAGTCGCCACGGACCACCGGTCAAGGCGCCCCCGTCCTTGTCAAGCGTAGGTTCTGGTGATATCTCCAGCACTCCCTTCTCCCCCAAACCACCTCGCAGTCCCGCACCCGCTCCTGCGCCACTCGTACCGCATAAAAGCCCAGAGCCAAGGGCACCAGGTAGGACTGCAGATGTCTCAGGTAAGCCCTCGCCCTCCATACCCGTAGGCAGTGCCCCCCCACCGTCACGTCCTCCGCCCGGCTATAGTGGCAGGTCTATTACGCAACCCTCCCCTGAACCTCCCACACAGCGAAGTGCTCGGAGCAACGAGGAATCTGCAGAACGTGTATTGCCCATGCCCACCCGTACACCCACAAGCGGACCGGTACACCCACCCCCACAACGGAGAAGCGTGACGCCTAATATCACTGCGATGCACTCTGCCTCTGCGCCTCCTCCGTTGCCAGCCATGCCACCCAGAAGTAAACCGCCGAGCATTGCAACACGGACAGACTCTTCCTCTAGGGTCACACCGCCGAGCCTGCCGCCCAGAGGCACACATATCCCGTCGACACCGACATTTGATAGCGATTCAGATAGCGAATCGAGTGATGCCGATAGTGTTGTTGCAGACCAATATTCGGGATCAGATGAGAACACAGACGAGGATAGTGAAGCGGAAACACTAGTGCCCCGGGTGCCACAGAAGCCGAAACGCCCGAATATGCTGTAAGGTGCTCTAGTAGTGTATCGCTCCGCATCGCCCTGTGGACGGTTTCCGACTGCGCTGCAAACGGTCAGCTAACGAACCAAACTAAAATACAATTAATTTCAGTGAGATCTTTTTATATTGTTCTTACGTTGCCTGTCAATGACAATTGGGTACCTTATTTGAAAGTATGTGCGTGTAAATCTCAAGCCATATCGAGCAAACATCCGTGGCCGTATTGGAATTTGTTGCTATCGTACTTCTCTATACACAACTACGTGCACCTATCGTACTTCTCTATACACAATTACGTGCACCTATCGTACTTCTCTATACACAACTACGTGCACCTATCGTACTTCTCTATACACAACTACGTGCACCTATCGTACTTCTCTATACACAACTACGTGCACCTATCGTACCTCTCTATACACAACTACGTGCACCTTAGCACATGCATATTGCTCGTTTTGTAGGATGCACGCTTATTAGGGGTGTGGGGTAGAAGTATATCAGTCTGGCGAAAGTTTAATAATAAAGACTTTACAACAGACAATCCCTAGCGTTGGAGCACTAATTTAGTCTTGTGGGTGTGAGATGTAAAACTGCGTTCCTGTTATGACATAGCGCTAATTTAGATATGGGTGTCGCACCGCTCTGGTAGCAGACTGTTTTCTATTGCAATACATTTGATATAATTCATGCAGTACTGGCAGCAAACCGTTTACTATTATATTACGTTTGATATAATCCATGCAGTACTGGCAGTAACCGTGTACTATTATATTACGTTTGATACAATCCATGCAGTACGTACTGTACCCGCGCCCACCACACACGTCTCAGAGCTATGTATGTGTGTGTGAAGAGTATACCCATTAATTCACAAAAGGGAGAAAAAAATACGGTGCAATACAGGAAGTGATTCAGGAATCCAGTAAGCGTTAGGACTGTTCTACGTATGCAACAGTCCATCACACATACCACGAATACGAGCCAAGTCTGTGAAGCAAAAGTGATGCGATCTGGTGAGATACGATCTGGTATTTAATAAGATCTCTTTGAAAATGTGGGCTTTCACATGCATGAACACTTGTACACGCTGGACTGCCTAAATATACGTTCGTTCTTAGCTAGTTGTTTTAGGCAACGACCGATGTTTGCACTGGTTGTAAAGCGTTCATATTGTTATCGTTGTGAGTGATCTTGGGATCTCTAACAAGCAGATGGCACGGAGCTACGTGCTCTACGGATAAATGCAGTGTGTTACTACAAATCTGAGTAAGTACTGTACTTACTATTGTACAACTAAAGGCAATGCAACGCAATTCGACCTCTTGTGCATCGTGCTAGTGCGACTGACAGCTGAATAGGTCATCATTTATACAAAAAAAAAATTATGAAAAATTGTACTGAACTGTATGTACGCGAAATAGATACTCAAAAGTCAAATCTGATTTTTTGAAGAAAATAAATTATGGATATATTTATTTACAAGCAGAGAGGCCAACCTATAAATAAATAACCCCTGTGACTTTGGTGGCCGGCATTTGCTGCGTGACACTACACACAACACCCAGTCTCCCAGATTATTACACTGTTAGAAGATGGCGACACTTAGTAGCGCTACGATACAACCCCTCCTGGGTCTCCTCTTCGAGAAGAGCAATTCGGGTGCCACTCTCCAGGTATTTGAAGTCAAGTTTGTGACAAGTATAACGTGTTTCGTTTGAATAGGTCAATGTGGTTCCTCTGACTATTGGACGTGGCTTAAAATCGCAGTAGGCAGTGCAGCATAATACCCTTATAGAAAGTAACCCATATAGTAAACAAACTTTTATGTATCGGCTTACCTGGATTCCGCTCTAATTCGGGACTACACCACGAAATAGGATGATAAACCAGAACGCAGCGAACATTGCTTAGAAGGTTGGGGTATCTCATAACATACATAATGGAACGACAATAAATACATCACATATTACTTAATCTATTTACATACATACATATA